ACCAAGAAGGATGTGTATTGTTTGGTACGAACAAGGATGCAGATCATGGACATTTCCTATTGTTAGCAATTCTCCTGATTTTCACCACTTAAGGATTAATTCATTTCTTCAGTTACCCATCCTGACCAATTCTTTTATTTTTTTCCTTAATCTTCAGGTGGCGAAAGAAGACTATGGATATTTATTTATTCATTTATTTGATAAACCCAAGGGTGGGTCATACAACCCAAAAGCAGAAACTGAAAATCGATTGCCTTTTAAAAACAACGTCTTTGGTTTGGTCTTTGGTTTGGAAACAGGCCGGGCGCTTTCCCCTCACACCTGTTTAGATGGTTAGAGTTTTTTCGATTAAATTCGAGCTTATGGCAAAGGTGGCAACTCGAAAAATATCGTTTTTCGATTTCAAAAACTTCGATACAGAAATGCTGAGTGTTATCGTAAGTCAAAAGTCCATTTTTCAATTAGTTTTAAAACCAACTACTCTCAAACAGTCGAGCTGAAAGGCTTCAGTGGAATTCATCACCCACAAGGTGGGCGAGTCATGGACAAAACCTCGGCTTTGGACGGACTTGATCCGTTGTGGTGCGAACCGTACACCGTGCTCTTATCCCTTACACTACCGAGACTCTGCTTGCCCTTGCCTTCTTTATGAACCGATTACTATTTGGCTACATTAGTAATGGCCTCTGCTCGCTGATGGTTCCCAGAAATACGTAACAGCACTAGAAGCAATATCGAACTTTGTATTAATTTCAAAACATAAAAATCATTTTTTAAAAATCGATTGACTGATTCAAATGGTTGTTTCAACAGGAGGCGAAAAAAAAANAAAAAAACATTTGAAGAATAAGTACGGAAATTTAGGAGCCTGCAGGTAAATAGGGAAAGGAGCGACGATGTCAAATTGAAAAACACTGTGGAAATTTCTGTAAACGTTGAGTCGAGATGACGAATAAAGAAAGCATAAAAGCGTTTTAAGCTAGGGTGCGATGTCCTGTAGAACAACGAACTATTCTATTGAACTTATCAAAGAAAAATCCGATGCCATGGTCTGCCGAAAATTGGATAACCTGGGTTGAAACAGCTTAAAATAAGCTTAAAATAATGAAAGGGCTTCCAAAACGTTTAGTACCTACGCGATGTTTTCATTGTTATTCAACCAATGATAGCAAATTCTAATGGGGTATAAAGATTCGTAAGAAGCACTACGAAACCATTAGTGTTCAGTGGGTGATGGGAACAATCAACGATCGGTTGTGTACTCAACGATCACACGTATCAGTAGTAAACAAAATCTACATAATATGATAATCTCCCACAAACATTTCCCGGCTTAACTTCATTCAGCTTGAACGCTTGGGCCTATGCAGTTTGCTACAGACCAACAATGCCCGATTTAATCAAAGGATGAGAAATCGCTAAAAAGTTTTCTATCCACAAGGGCTAGGATTACAACTAACAGAAATTGATCGGGATCCCAAATGGTTGGCGGATTCCAAGAGAATCGAACAAATCGCCGAGCTCACCATCGGTAAGCAAGGCACAAACATCAGACACCTCCCATCTTTTCCACTCTGCTGTCCTTCACGCTTCAGAGACCTGGACTTTCCGTCCCTTCAGCGAAGATGAGTTGACATTTCAGAGAAATGACAGGGTCATGATAAATGCACCTGCAGAAGGGATGTCGAAGTTATGAATTCAAGGTTTTTTAGATTACATCGGCTCGAGGGAGAGGGGACGATATCGCCCGCACGAGCTAATCGGTGATCAACGGGACGATAGGTGATACATGTTGGTACGGATTACTTCTAACTTCGCAGGTCTCGAACGCACACAGTTCCGTAAATTCTGCAAACACGCAATCGAAAAACATCCACTTTATTCTGACTACTTGATCGCTAAGAGTACACATGGGAAGGATGGAAGCCCAAATTCCTTGGAGATTCCCCTCTATGAATTCTACAACAATTTTGGGTCCTTTTTTCAACTTCCTTCCGATTTTATCAACGAAAAAAAACCCTAGCCGCCTTACTTGGGGTTCCGTAGTAGAATGGTAAGATACTAGTCAGAAGCCTTCCAGTGCTATATCTGGACTCTGCTGGCTCCGACATTAAAAACTTCATCCTTCTTACACTCGGATCAGCCTGATCAGTTGCTGAACGCTCTCAATCACTATACCTGCTCTTCCCAATCGTAGAAGAGGTTTTCCCAGCTGTCCACGTAGGCGATTTATAGAACGGACGTCTTCAATGCGTGAGCAAGTGGAGTCAAACCGAAGGAAGGGAGCATAGTACGCCAGTGACTCTTGAAACTCTACATGCGTCAGAAGGGCAAACATTCGGAAACAGATCGTAAATGAAAACATAATGGCTCCCCTTTAGAACAACATCACATGAACCAGACGAACAATATATGAAATCCCGTAAGCAATGTTAATGTCTAGCAAAAAGAGATTAATCAAAGTCCCAGGGAGTTTGGGAAAAAATACTCCAAGCCGTTGACGGCAGGCCTTCTTATTTGATAGGATTCCTAACAAACAAAACGTTCTCTCATCGTCTCGACAAAAAGGCGATCTCAAAGAGACGTGCTACAGGGCTGTTCAACAAAAGCAAGTGGATTGCAATCTGGCAGTCATCTGAGATTACAACACATCCATGACTCAACTGTTTCTCTGGCCAACCTTTTCGAAATCTCGGGCCCTTTGACACAAACATTATCACAACGATCAATAACATAAAACCTCTATTCACATTTCATACTTTTACATTGTTATAATCTGTCATTATTGCTTATTCCAATACCATATTAAGGTATTTCTAATCTTTATAGCAATTTATATAAATTTTCGTAATTGTTGATAGAGCAGATTGTTTCTTGTTCAAAAAATCGAGAAAGAAAAAATGTTTCCAATTTTATCGTTGAATTAGCTTCTTCATGTACTCACGATCATCATCAATTAGAAGCGGTCTGGTATTAGGGTCTGGTAACTTCTTCCCAAAAAATCGCGTCGCGCTCGCCGCGCCCGAACACGCATAGTCGCACGCTGTGGAGGGAAAGGTTCGGATTCCCGGTGGAAAGAGACGGTAGCGCCGCGGAACCACTGCCGCTTGCCGTGGGAAATCGGGGAGAAGTACCGCCAATTTTTAGAAGCCATCCTGAGTTGCCAGGTAATATACAGATTCCAATCACTTGTTAGGGATGCCACAAGATGAGAGCCTTCACAACTATAAAATACTTACGACACCTTAAGAGGCCTTGTGATAGCACAGCTCGTCCCAACCAAACCTTCTATCAGCTGTGTTAAGTTAAATTTGAGCCGCTCAGATCTGCTCAAAAGCCAGTGCTCTAGGACTGTTTCACTTTGTTTTTTCATTCAATTATTTACTGATTTTCGAGGAAAGGTTTGAAAAAAGGTGAAGTACCTCTTCGATGAATTCTCACGGGACCATCAAACGATGCTATCCAATCGAAATGGTTATTCCATAAAGAAACTTTGAAAAGGTCTAGATAAGTCCTGTACGGCCCACGGATAAAATGAAGTCCTAAAGATAAAATTGTTAAAAAAAGAGACAGGGTAAAATTGTTGAAAAAAAAGAAAAACTTTTTTTTGGTTTAAAAGAAGTACGGCGAATGTATGTTTTCTGTACCACCACCCGGTCAACTTAACCACATGGCTTGCAACGCTCGCGTTCGTTCACTTGCACCTTATGACAGCATAATGTGAACGAGTTTTGTTAGCTCAATTACCCTAAAATTCCATAGATAAGAGCGGGTGAACCTACCNGTGAAAAATGAATTGGAAAAAATCGAAACTGAATGCAGTCACCCTTCTAACTTGATGAATGGATGAATTAAACTTCAAGGAAGAAGTTAAGAAGAAGCTCCGCCCCTCAACTCTGAACCCCGCCCACTTAATAAACAATTCATTTAGAAAAACAGCAATCCGTTAAAAACCGCTGTTTTTCTACATGAATTGTTTATTAAGTGGGCGGGGCTTAGAGTTAAGGGGCGGAGCTTCCTCTTAACTTCTTCTTTGAAGTTTAATTTATACATCCTTCAAGTTAGAGGGTGACTGCATTCAATTTCAATTTCATTCCAATTCATTTTTCACCGGTAGTTTCAACCGCTCTTATCTATGAAATTTTAGGGTATTACTTTTGGAGCTCTGTTAGGTGATGAAACCTTGATTTCCCTGTAAGATTTCATCATTTGGAGGCATAATTAACTGATAATTTACCACTTTCGTTCCCAAACAATTAAAATGCGGATTTGGCCTGGACAATGAATTGCGGTGGTCAGTTGCTGCCTAACTCATGGTCAGTTCTCCTCTTCTCTCACGCGAGTCTTGTACAAGGGAATGAACCTTAGAGGGATGGAAAGCTTCGTTGGCCTGAACGAAAACCGAGCTGCGATTCGAAGCGCAAACCTTACCTGGGTGATAGTGCACTTCTTGCCGCTACACCACTGCACTTGCCAAAATTTATAAAGTGGTGGGGAACGTAGCATAGCCTCCTCCGGGTTCACCCACGGCAATTGAATAGAATTTTAAAGGAGTTGTGGTTTATCACGGAAGCGCTGGTTTGAATTAGAGGTAGGATAAACTGAACATCGTGGTTCCCTTCAAACTGAACATATGATTGTTGCACTTCATAAAGCGTGTTATACAAACAGACGTTTCATTAGCATTAAGCATTAAGCAAACAACAAACAAAGCACCGGAAAATCTGCAAAAACCTGGAACAGACACGTACAACATGGACATCTCTACAGCTCAATTCTGATAAGTATAGGAATTAATACATACTACAGCTACGAGCATAGTCGATTGACAGTCTCAATAGGATACGATAAAGAATTGTGTTGAGGAACCTTTTGGATTAACCGTATGTCGGAATATTCTGATAACGATCGTAAAAGAAGTATGACTAGGAGAACGCTTGAAACTACCTTAGAGAGGAGATAATTCACAACAAAATAATGAGTCTTAACAATGTATAACCTTAGAAGGGCACAGGGTACAAAGGAAACTGAGCCCTGTCAATGTTTTCGGGAAGAAGATCGACAAGGAAGCAAAGCGCTCCCGACAGCCCTTCGAACAGACTGAATGGAGAATCTGGTGTTCTCTGGGCAGAGCGAATGTTGTTGTCGAGAATCATAAGACCAAAACATCGTGCTCGTTGCAACCATTCCTCGTCCCCACATGCACGGTATAACATCAGAAGAGCATAACCTGTTGTAAATAGGATAGGCATCAATAAACAAGAATTGAGAGCAAAGAAAAAGTGTCTATTCCTGTCAGGGCCCTCTTGTAAAAGAAACAAACTACGTGGTTTATTTCTTTGCTTCGAAAACCATGCGATGACAGCTGTGTTCCAAATAATATACCCTTTATTAGGATGAACACACTCAGAGCACGAATACCCCCTATATCACAGTTGGTCCCGCCCTGCATTGACAACTATGCGGTAAGAGACCCGATCAATCACAATGAAAACTTCGAGGCGAAGAGGAAAATGGGTTTAGTATGCAAAAATATTGATTGACTGATAACCTGATAAGGAATCGTTTGAAATCGTGAAGATATGGTGCATCTCCGGCTTCTTTTTAAGCTGAATAAAGTCAGCGCAGAACTTGACAATGCATTGCACCAGCGGATTTTAACATTGACTTTGTCTTGATGCATGTGCTCTGCGCATATGCTACAGATAATGCGTATTTGTCCCTTTTGGAAAAGATGAAGATTGCACATAGTGAGAGGCAGTGGATCAAGTACAGTGCTCAGATTGTGACAAATTACATATTCGTGAGACGGGAAGGATGCTGCACGTTCTGACAAAGAAGCCTACTCACGCTATTTGAGGTGCCCCGACTACAAGTACCACTGATTTTGACATCAAATGCAAAATCCGAGCTTACGAGAATGAAATTGGCGCTACATAGCTGCAAAAAGTCTTGACTGAATAACCGATATGAGTGCATGGCCTCCAAAAGGAGCGAACGGCTTCTGTCATTCACTTTTAAATGAGTTTTGGAATCATCGCGCATTTTTTACCTCGAGACCTCATCTTTTTCACGTAATCGGATGAGAATCAACAGAAGCTGGTGAATCAATAGAAGGTGAGTTGGCTGGCTAGTATCCTTCGGGTTGCTGTTTATGATCTAGTACGTTTGGGCGCTCGATCGTGTAAGCCACAGAAAAGAGTTTAGAACTACTTTCAAGTCCTTAATGACGTTTTCTTTGAAGCGTTGACCAAGTAAAGCGGTTCTACATAACGAACCTGTCTCTCAAAGCAATGTGAGGCCGAGTTGGATCAATTCCAGAAGCAAAAAACGCGCGGATTGAGCTAATCGAGAACATGACTTTTTAACAAGCTCTCTTCCATACCGAGATGCTCTACTTCCTTCTTGCTCTAAACTTGACATATATTGAATCAGTTTTTTCTCACCATTTCCGCCTACTCCGTGACATATGCCAGGACCTTTCTTCAGCACACCTTTGTTCCATATGAGATCGCCTGCTCGTAAGGCTGCCTGGAACAAAATATCGTCATTCGTAAAAGGGAATGCTAACGTTAGAACGCCTCAGTGATCGCGTTTTCAGTTGCGGACTCTTAAAAGCAAGAACGTCAAATCCCAAAATAAGCATTTTAATTTTTCAATTTCTACATCGTCAGAATCATTTCTATCATCATCAAATGGAAGAAATCCTAATCCTGGAGAACCTGAGTGGTGGAGTGAGGTTAGAAGTGTGGACGTGATTTTAAGTAGTGGAACAAGGCTCATGAAGTGCGAAGTCGGAGCCTTGGCACGAGACTCTAGCACCTCACATCGGGCATTATGACCCTGGTAGCTTGGCTTAGACCTTCGTCCCCCGCTTCTGTCCTGAAGTCTCGTCGCTCCGTCTATGAACGGAAAAGTTAAACCGCTCTTATGGGACTCTAAGGATTATTTTGGATAACAAGCAATAGAGGATGTACTAGCTTCCGCCTTATGATATTACAAAATACATACATACGGACAGACAGACACACCAAACTTGTTGATTATACATAGTAAGGATTATCAAAATATGGTAGTTACAAGATTATAAGTGAACTGCTCTAGTACAGAATGATACCATTTGTATAAAAAAAGCAAATACTAAACTCAGGCTGCCACTTTTTATACTTTCGTATAGTTATGCACGTTACACATATATTTTTAACTACTGAAAATATAAGGAACGATACCTTGAAATATTTCTGCTCTCCATAGCGTTTCCACATCGTCAGACAAAGCAATATAACACCAGGAGCTCCGTGACACCAATGAATAAGCTGGTCATCACCACGCTCCCTAAACCAACTTCATTACCGTGTTCAAAAAATTATTTAAGTCCAAAAATACGATAAAAGTTTGTCAAGAAAAAAAAAACGAAACAGTAACCTTCCAATCCACTTAACACTGCTGGCAAAATTACCCTCATCATCCTGTGTCGAAAGCAACCAGTCGGCAGACTCCCTAACGGCACGTTCATCAGAATCGGAGAGAAAGTCATGGAAGCTAAAAATTGAACTGTGTACTTACACGAGATGCACCGCAGAGATAACAACGAAGTGTTTTCAAAGCTTGAAAGCAAGAATAATATCATATACCCTATTTGAGCGAATGCTATACCCACCCTAATGCCGTCTGGAGTATTCCAGCAAGTCCATGAGCTGCACCAAGATATTCCGTGCCATGGTAGTCATACATCAGCGGACATGGTGACTTATGACGTGAGGAGTACCTGCATTTCACAAAGGCGATTCATAACTTACAATTAGGCGCTACTTTAGCGTTGATCTCTAATGTTGTGAACGTGAGCATTCCCAATGAGCACCACTGAACAAAAGTAGTAAAATACCAAAGGGAGTGCGGCTTCTTTTAAAGTGAAGCTGTGTATATGCTATATGACTCAGCATAGCTGACCCATGACTCGGAGTCATGGGTCAGCTATGCTGAGTCATGACTCGACAATGCCTAGTGTTTACTCCTATCGAGTTTCTGAAATTGAGAGCTTGAAATGAGTGCTTTCATTGGGATACAAAAAAAAACACGAAGAGTTGCTTTCAGACTTCAACGATTCAGCCCTTCTCCGTCCATCGCGTGCGTGTCGGGACGGCGGCTCTAGGACGGTGTTGACAGCGCCGAATACCGATCGATACCGCAAGACAAGGGGATGACATATTCCATCATCCCATCATCGATCGGTATTCAGCGCTGTCAACACCGTTCTAGAACCACCGACGCGGCAGGCACGCGGTGGACGGACGGACGCCAGTTGAGTCATTGAAGTCTGAAAGCAAGCAGGAGAAGCGATTTAGTATACTTTAAAACGGGTTCCCCAGAAAGGCCACGTTGAAAGGTGGATGCTTGAGGAGATGAGAAAATTTCGAAACAGAACTAACAGTTTTTGTGAGGTTCGCCGATTTTGAATAGTTCTATGTTTCTTTAAACTACGTTCGCCTTCCAACTCCTAATTAACAAACGTAATAACTGTGATGCCAGTAACCAATAAATGCAGTTCATCATCCTCGATCGGTAAGATGGGGCCGTAAAAGAGTATTTTTAATAAAGGAATGAGGAGCTAATGAGCCCTGTGGAGCTGAAGGACAAAAAATCCGAATTCCCAGGCAAGTTGCATCCCGATATTTTGGATATACCTCAACTTCAGATTCCGAGATTCTATCAAACCTCAAAACATCTTATTTTTGCTATTGTTCTCTGTTCTCTTAAGATAGAGAGCAATCTCATACAAAAAACGGACCTTTTTCCTGATAGAATCATGGCTGACAGCACCTTCTGTACAGCACTATTCGACACGAGTGATGGATCAATCGTTTGTCTAAGATAAAGATCATCGAATTCACATAAATAACAGGTTAGAAGAAATCTAGAAAGAAACATAACAACCAGTCTCACCTGATCCAAAGAACGCCACTCAAGAACCCTGCTCGTCCAACCAAAATCTCATCGCTAGGATAGTCATCCTTAATCGTTACTGTGCTGTTTGTGCAAAATCTAACAGAAAGAGGACTGAAGGAATCAGTGCAATTGAGTTACAATGCTATCACGAAAAAAGAAAACAAATCACCCTAGCTAGCACATCAGATATCTTCTCGATCTTGGATACAAGATCTTCTCTTAAATCCGCATTGCTCATCTGTGTTACATACACGCCGAGATCTCCGCACAAGAAGCGAGCTTGCTTGGAGGAGGATCCTGAAATGCAAACAGTTTTCATTAATTTATTCGAATAACAAACTCAAATTTGCATAGTGCGGCTCAGAAGTGCTATTAAAGGATCGGAAGCGATACACCCAACTCAAAAAAATAGGGTAGAAAGGAAGGCAGAATGCTGTGGCCACAAAGTGGAAGTACAAATGAAAAATAAGTACCAACAGAGCTGCTAACAGCTCAATTTGTATTGGTAAGCTGAAATTGCTTTTGTAGGTCTATGTTTTACTTATTCATTTGAATGGCAGACTTGACAAGCAGTTAGCTCTTAGAATGAGATTGTCAGATGGTCTACTCCTATTGAAAGCTCTTGAAATGACACGGGAGAGAGAATTTTTGACAACTGCAGTGTGCCGGACAATTTCTATACCACAGCACCTTGCCGTGAAATGGGGGAGTTAATGAAGCCATAGAAAACCAGGGAAAACTGAACTTAACAGTGAGAAAAGCCCACTTCGCGATCCACGCATGCAATACTGCCAAAGTTGTTCTGCTGTAGATGTGGCGCTCGGTCCAACAATAGGCGCTGCTTTGTTTAGGGCGAATGCCACACCTGATAGTCCCGTATAAGGACCGACTAAAAAGAATCAAAATTTAGTAGTTAAATACGAACCAAGAAAACCTCACCATAGAACTGCCACAACGTTTGCGTCTAATGAGAATGATTTGTTGTTTCGTTTTTCGTACCCTGAGAATATACTCAGTTTCAAAAAGACCGAGAAAAATTGCTAGTTTGGCATTCTGTGATGCTGTCTCATCAAGTCAACCCAAGAAGGAAAGATGTCAGCTACATTCACTGAGTTCAGAATCAATGAATAACTATGTTACCAAAGCGGAGTATTAAATACCAATCACTCGTATTCAGACGTTGATTGGCGGTTCATGATGTATAAATTTCTGAATGTGCGTATTCTCTACCGCTGGAGGTGAAGCGTTTTTTGGTGACCTTCGAGTAATTTCATCTGATTTCTATTTCTAACAGACACTCACCCAGAACACAAGAGAGAGCCTTTCTGAGTGTGTAGGTAAAAAGCTTAAAAGAAATTTTTATGAAAGCAAACATACAGTCGCTCATCTCTTCGTCGTCAATATCCCTATTGATGATTTTTCCAGCAACTGTCTTGATTGCTTGCTCCAACCATTCATTGGTAACTTGCTCTGATGCTTTCGCTTCGTATCCCACGTAGGGATTCCTGATGAAACGTCCCATCTGAAAGAAAGAAACTTAAATGAGGTCAGTCATCGAATTACCGCCTTATAATGGATATATAAAACTACACTCTGCCTAGCCACCAATCTCTTTTTTGTTACTGAAAATGGCGATAGGTAAATAAGCTTCTTGGGGAGTTTGATAACAAAGTCCGAACTTATATTAACAACAACTACTGTAGTATCTTCTGAAACGTACAAATCACGACCCGATGTGAGTGACCGCATTCATACTAGGCGCTCTTCAATAAACTAACGGTGGGGTATGGCGAACACCAGAGGGTGAAATCACAGGGCAACGAGTGGTGTTGCTCTGATTAAAATTCGAGTTCCCTGTTTTCCTTTCTACCTCTCCCAACTGAATTTTCACCAAAGTCAAGCCGCATCGAGTGGAAAGTAGTTCCCAATGTACAGGATATCAATCGACAACCGGCGCTGACCTCAACGCCCGCTTCTTCTACCGCAAGATACCGAGCATGAACACTGCCAGCATGCAAATTTTTTTCCAAAACTACTAATTATGAAGTGAGCGAAACAACAGCTCGAAAGCAATCTTTATGATGCATCCGCATAATTTGAACCGAGTAATTCTTAAATTTCTCCAAGAAAACGTCCTATTTAGAACTTTATCAAATCGAGCCGTGAGCCAACGCTTCGTTCGATTACTTACGCCTATTTAATGTTCTGTAAAACTTTTAAGATAAATCTACCTTGGAAACGTTGATGGCTGACGCCAAGACGTTAATCGAAAACCTTGCCAGACGAGCACTCAATTTGTAAACAAAACAAACTTCTGACGTAAAATGAAAACCGCAGTGTTCGACTGCACACTTCACAACCCACTTGACGACAATGATTCCCGTGGTGCACAAACCCACCCAACGGTGAATGGTTAGAGTGGAATATTGGTAATGTCTCGTCCCATTTTAAGCTTTTCATAAAGTTGCGGTGGGTCATGTAAATAGGCATCGGGGCGTAATAGGTAGAGTCGTTCTCTTGTCCACCCTATTTCTTTAAACATTCGCTAGAAAGTGCGTACGTACGAACTGTACACTCTGAGGTTGCTTTCCCAGTCCACGATATGGCCCGCGAGAGAGCGACAGGGGCGGCACCCCCTTGTTTACCACTGAATCTTGTTCGATACCGCCGGACGAGTAGTCCCCCGTCGTTCGCTCGCGCTCGCGGACCAAATTGCGGACTATGAAAGCAGCCGATTGAATTCCCTATGATTTTGGATCAAAACATTGTTCACATGGTTTCTTCAGTGTTGAATGAAGCAGCTCATTCACCATTCATCGATGCAGCACGAAGTAAAGAACATTTCGGATTCACTTGCAGGAGGAGGCGGACAGGAAACGGCTGTTGTTTTCACTTCAAACTGATCAACCAGTATAGAGTAAATTAGTAGCTGTTTGTTGATGTAATAGTTAACCACTGTTACATTTATTGACGCTGTCGGGTCAATCTTACCAACACATTTCCCCATCCACCTAGAGAGAATTGGTGGTGTTTGTTGAAGTGGGAAAATTTGTTCGAATCAACAAGGTGACCCACCTGCTCTGGTTCTGCCTGCTCCTTGCTGTGCTGTTTCTCCACCTGCTCTTTGCTGTGCTGTTGTTGCTGTACTTCACCCTTACTTGACGAGCACCCCAGCTTGCGTTGCCGTTCTGCATTGGAAAGAAGCTGGCATCATTGAATCCGACCATATCAGACTTCTGTAAACTCTTCACCACCTACCGTTCGATGCAGTCGAGGCTAAGGAAGAATCCTAACAATCCTTGAGTAAATTCACTGGTGAATATCTAAATTATCTAAATAGCACATGCATCTAAAAACGGTTCTACTGAGATGTTCATTTACAAGCTCATGCCCAACATTATCGGCGGAGACGCAGAGTAAAATCACATTGAGGGGTCAGGGAACATCTCCCCGAAGACGGCGTCGCGCAAGCCGCGCTCGCCGCGTATCGCAGATTGCGATGGAAGATTGGAGCGCGCAATTTGTGAGGTAGGGAGTTTTTTAATTATTTGAATTGCCTGGCCGCTCCCTTCATTTCCGATGTGGTTTTGATCGTCGCTAATATAGGAGGAGTCATTCTAATTAAACAAGTCTAATATACATAAAAACAAAAAAAAAGATAAACGATCAAAACCAATAAAAAAGAAAGGCAACCAACGAAAAATATTGCGTCATATCGATTGGCGGGGGGCGGGGTGAGTACGGTAGTTGCTGTGACATTTGCCGCATGCCGCAAGGGAGAATGCCGCAATCGGGGAGAAGTTCCGTTAGCTTAAATGCCGTACTTCTCTGAAATTGATCACCGGATAAGTAAAAATCGGCTGTGGAAGTATAGTTGGGGGGAGGGTCAGGCAAAACACTGTTGGTAAAAAAAATTAACACCACGGCGGTACGGAGGCGAAGAGAGGATGGGCATCGGCCACCTGTGCGTTCTTATGCGGTTTAGCCAGGGAAATGCACTTTCTCAACTGAGCCTCAAGAAGATAGTAGCGCAACAGGATGGGTGAGATGATTACCCCGTGCGAAAAGCTGGAAACTCGCCCACCCCGGCGCGCCTTATCTCCTAAGGCTCAGTTTAAAAATTGCATGTCCCTGGTATAATATGGAGTAAGGCGTAACACCTTGTTAACTTGTTAATTTCTTTTTGTACCGACACTGTTATTTGCCCCCTCCCCTCCCCCTGAATGCTGTGCCGGCAAAGCCTGTTTATTCCAACTCATGGCTGACTCCGCTAAGATCCGCGATGGCTATGGTAGAGTTGGAAAACCCCAGTGAGACCTGACTTTCGAACGCTCATATCATAAACTTACAACTACTCGAACTCACTAGAAACGATGTTATAAAGCTGTACTCCTAGATGAAGGCCCTTTGGGACTCACAGTCACGCAGAATATTGTAATCGGTATGAATTAGTCCTGTTCTTGGAGTAGCTAGAAAAAGTGGTGTGCCGGCGATATTTTGGCATGACCGTGAACAACGCGGTTATTAGTTAACGCGCCCCAAGTATCGTATAGCAACTGCGGCGCGGTCGCCGGGAAATTTTCATATTTAAATAATTTGAAGGTCATTTTTTCAAGGTTTAGTCCAGAATACTTCAAGAATCGGTGATGGATCCATCTTTGATCAGTTCAGCCTTATGTAAAAGATCTCAAGCGATTTTTATTCACGACATGCTCTCGAATTTGGGCGAAAACCCATATCCAAGTGATTATTACAGTAAGTGTTCTTTTCATTGCTTGTTTTTTTTNTTTTTTTTTTGCTTTTTTGTGTTAATTTTCAGTGTGATTCTGTTTATACATAGCTTGTGACATAGCGAGTATTCAGAAGCGCTGTATACGTTCGTATAAGATTGTGAAAAAGAAGTCGGGGTCATGTTACCCTAACTCTGAGCTAAATTTTGAAAGCATCCAGACTTTTTGTACATTTTTTGTCTGTTGTATTTGGGCTAGGTCGTGTGAAGACATTAGTTACTATCATTCTTGGCAACTGTCATGACAAATACCCTTACTTTGTAGTTTGAAGGCCACTGAAATTGTCGTAGACCGTCTCAATGCCCACTCGATATAGGTTTCACTATTCAGGCGACATTCGCACTAATATAATGTCCAAGGCACTCAAAGCGGAACAGAACTGTGAGAATGCCATGGCTGAAAGGGAGGAACAGTTGAATAAAACCAATATTCTGTCAGGTATGTCGCTGATAGTCCACTCTCTTGGAAAAGTGCGGTGTCTTTTTTTCCCAATTCCTTTTTTACTGTTGTCTTGCAGATGAGCTGAACATGGAGAAGGTCGAGCTGGCAAGGCGTCTGTTAAAAGAGGTGATTTTTAAATCAGAAATCTTTAGTGCTTTGCTTCTTTCCCCTCGCTGTAAGAGTGGCATACAAGGGGTGATTGAAGGTCTCAGAACAAACAGTTGGATTGTATTATAGGGTCAAGAGTGGAGAAATGTCATCGAATGCCATTTAATTTGCCATTGAATCTCTTCGATCAAATTACAGTAAACCGTATGGATCATTTCGAGGAAAATTTATTCCTTCAGCGTGATGTCGATTTGATCGAAGCAATATACAATGGCAGGTTGCTACGGTTGTTGGGTTTGATCAAGTGAAAGCTGAAGAAGCACCCTAGATGATTTACCATAATGCCCGTATTCACCAGAAAAGGGTAAGGTCTCAATAGTGATTCCGGGGCACCCCAACAGCGACGTCTACTTCCTTCGTGAGGTTTTTGTAAGTGTCTGTAGCTTCTCGCATGCGTCCTTAACCAGGAAATGTCTCTCACCAAACCTTCTGGGATATCTCATTTCGAGCATGCTCGTTTATCAAGTACAAAGTGAAAAATTAACTGATTGTATGAAATTACTTCTTCCTTCTTTTCTTTTCTTCCTCAGGAGCACATTTTTAGGTGCTCGTAAGCCCAGTGGCTGCCTGCTAATGAGTAGTAGTAAAGGTATATCAATTTGAGCCTGTTCCTAACACCGCAAAGCCAACCATTTAAGTTTTTACTATGCTTTATGCGCTCATTTGAATCACTGGGTCTTTACTTCCTTTTCGCCCTTAGCAATTTTGTCGAACCGCGCAACCCAATCTTGATCTCATAGTCTCTTAGTTAACCTCACAGCTATCATATTTGGAAATCACAGCTTTGAAGCAAGTTATTGCGTTTCCACGGTACTGTTGGTTCTATAGCCCCTCCTTTTCATTGTTTACTATTGCTTTTGTTCTAAAACCCATCATAATGCCATTAATGTCTCCCTGTTACTGTCGCCAGCATTGTCACTATTTTGAGACCTGTGGTCTTTTTGACCCTTGACCTTTATACTTGCCTTTAACAAGAACAGCAGGGAAAGTACCAGATGGAGGTCGAGCGAGCGATGTCGAGCGTTGTTCGGTGTCATGTACAAATAGCTTGGGTGCTTCGAAAAATTCAAGAATTGTCGGTTTCACTGCTCTCAGTGATGTCTTATGCTTCAGAAGTGATAAGCGAGTAACAATACGTTACCACTTTTCTAATTCTGTAGGATGTATCGTTAGAGGGTTATTTCTAGCAGATTGCTATTCCTGTTTGTTCATTTGTGAAAATAATCCAGATATTTATAGTGTTTATAAAATATTTTCAGAAGGAAAGACTCTTGTCGAAACGAGAAGCTTTGCGGTCTTTATTAAATGCTACTCAGATTACGTCCGAAGAACTGAAAACAAGGCGTGATCGTGCGAAATCACTGCAGATGAAAAGGTCCGTTGTACAACAACTGTCGGACAATTGTGAAAGGATTGGGCGAGAGCTTGCTCATTCGCAGCACTGAATTATTATTCTCTCACACTCTCTTTCTTAGGTCCTAAAACTGGTGCTTACACAAAAGTTGTGCGTTTGCTGAGCCTTAGTCTAACTTTGGTTTCGCTAGTTATGCGCTTTCATTGCTATGGCGATATCTTGAACTCTGCCACCAATAGATTTGTGATACTATCAATAACATTTGTAGGCGTGCTGTTGAGAAATGCGTATTGTTACCCAAGCTACTGAGCTAGTAGAATAATGATTGTTGGCACAGAGTTTAAGCGTTTTTTTTCTGCTCTTTTCTCATCCAATCTCTGCTTTCCATCTAACCTCACACGCCGCTTGTCCTCTACTTTTTCTTCCGATTCTCTAAAACGATTTCGAGAGTACTTATCAGGTTAATCTGAATTTCTTGAGTGTTACGGTAAGTGTATAATAAGTGGCAAGGAATTCTCTTTCCATCTTTTTTTTTTTGAATTCATTGATCTCGTTCACTGCAAATGATGGATAAATGTAGTTGCAGATTACACTTGATTGATACGAAACTTGATTTCTTCTTCTGAATGTTAATGGGAGCTCCATTCAATATCTTTTGACACCTTGGGCGTTCCATCGGAGATTGGTTCCTAGGCGGGATCTAAACTCTTCTTGACACATTGAGTACATAGTGTTTGTAGTGGAGCCACGTTGGTACTTATTAGGAGGAGGCAAAAAAGGCAAGAAAAGCGCTGACCCTCTGCGGGGGTTCCCTGCCCTAGCCCTGCACGGACTTCGGACTTTGCAATCCGATTAACACATTAAACATTCATATATCGCACGAAGTCATCCATGGTCCAACCTTGTCCAGGAGAACCTAATCGAACGATCGCAGCAAGATCAATCGAAATTGTGTGCTTACCTTTCATGTAACGCCCATGATCGAGTCTCGACGAATCTTGGCTTCCGGGCTCTAACGAAGGCGTCAAGGCCGAAACGTTAGCCAAATTAAAAGTTATGACATCTGAGGCTTCACAAGGGCACCACTACATCTAGTAAAATAATTTCGGCAGGGTTGCCTGGACGAAAGTAGGATTTGGGGATGGTGACCTGAAGTATTTGCAATCCTGAGTTAACCTCTTAAAGTGAAGTGTTCAGACCAACCAGATCAATACCAGGGAATGAGGTTTCAAAAAATCAAGTGCTGTCGATCGATTAAATTAAATTAAGACCGACTGAACCGCAAGTAGGACGCAAGGAATTCACTGGTTGATCTTCAAACGAGGAATCAGGTTTATTGTGGTGAGACACAAGCTCACATCAGAGCTATAATTATTAGGAGGCAAACTTAATGCTACTCAAGCCAAGCTTGCTGACTTAGCAATTTTCTCTTTACGTTGCGTTAAATATTATTACTTACTTCACGAATTACAGTATTAAAGGCGCAGTTCACGATAAGAATACTCTCGATAAAAGTCCGAAAACCGACTAAGCTGGTACACACACCCATAGGTGGACGAGATTTTATGGTGTTGTAGAGGCTGTAGGGGTTACACCATTTGCACCGGCACATACACGTTAAGCGCAGGCAGCTTACTGTAGCCAGTTGTGCGCAATGGGACACACATTAGGACAACTCGTCCAGAGATCCCTTCAATGCAACTACTGTCGTCCAACCGCTAATTTGCCTACTTCTCAAGCCTTGTATTCTTCTAAGAGCGCCTATTTTTGCTTTCCTTCTTCACATCTGCATCATTTCCATTATTCTCTGAAACTAGATGCCTCAAGATTATCGTGGGCTGTGCCTTTAATCCCTCAAAGACCCGAAAAATGTACGAGTGTCCAGCCTATAAAAATCCACTGGAAAGTATTATTTCAAAAGGACCGGAAAGACTGCTACAGGTGCAATTTACCAACGAAGTGTGACTGCGGAGGTGGGTGATGAAACAGAACAACACGTCAATGAAATGTTTAGTGGCGTAAGTCCATCTTCAGATGGCAAGAATGACAATAAGCAAGAACATAAGAAGGTGATGAGTTTGACAAGATATCAACTAAGGCAATGACACATTTCGATCCACAAAACGCATGATAGCACACGGTACGGTAGCCGTAGATGAAAAGAGCGTTTGAAATGGACCAATCACAATATACAAACACAAAAAAACTGTATATTGAAATAAAACCAGTGACTCATCTCTCTCCTTTTGGCGACTTGGTCACAGTAATTGGCGTTGGAAACGTTAGAAATACGAACTTAAGCCATATATAGGGTTCACTGAGAAGATCATGGGAAAGTAAAAACATGACTATGTTGTGAATAGTACAAGTGAAAACAGTTCTGTACAGAATTAGTTGCTAACAGTGCCAATACAAGCACAAAATAAGGCCCGTACATTGACATGAGGAAAAACAACAAAAAAAANNNNAAAAAAAATTGGGTTTGAGTTCAGATTGTCTTAACGATTGTTATGAACGGGGCGGAATAGTTGGAGCAAATTCATATTGAAGGGTAGCGTGCTGAAGCCTAACGGTCACAAGGCTGAGGTTGACTCCTAAGAATAATCCCTCACACTGTTGGCTTCACCTTCGGGAAGGCAAAGTTGGTGGGAACCTACTATCCCCACAGAAAAGCCCAGAAGGTCAACAACACATGGAAGAAATAGAGAGTATGGGGATGGGGTTTATCACAAGAACAGTTGAAATCATGTTCGACTAGGCCGGGAGCAGGGTCGGAGGTGGTTTGAAGGAAGGCTGCAAACATTAAAGGGTTCACAGATGCTTATGACCAGTGGAACTTTCCCAATCGGGGACAACCAGGGAGGTTCACGGGATTTAGGACAACTTTGAACGACTTTCCCAATCAGAGATTTATGGTTTTAGGTAAGATTCTAACAAAGTTCGGCTGCAGACGTTAGAAGGTGCAGGAAGTGCATTCAAGAAGTGCATAAGAACCCCATCCCCTCCCACATTGGATGAATTGCTGCTCATCTGGGAGACGGCGTTCATAACAATTGTTAAGGCTACCGGTTCAGACTTAAAGTCGAACAACTAGACTCAAACCGGCGAATAAGCCATGGAATACGATTAAAAGCTAACAAGAAGCTAAGTGACAAACGAACTACAACATGGTACACTACTATGTAGTAATAAAACGCCCTTCGGCATCTTAGAAATATTAATAAGTTGCGAAGATCATCATCAATCGTAATGCTAAAGGCAAAAAACCGCCCGAGCAAAACGCTTCGCTATCACCGGTCTGCAAAATGGTATGGCACAAGTAGAATAGAACTCTAAAAATCCTTGGAAGATAAAAGCGATTCTATCAGGGAATGATGGTTGTGATCAGTGGCAGTAAGACGACTTGCGGATCGACGCCGGCTGCTGGACTACTCGATTCGAGCATTTGCTATCCGTCGTCGGAACACAGATCGTAATCGACTCAATGGCAGTGGACAGTCGAATCGTCGTGGAATCGGCTTCAGCACATTGCATTCCATCCAACGGAACAACGGGAACCAGAACTCTTTACGGTGATGATTCTGCGTTGACAGCTGAAATTTGTACACTTCAGGGTAGTAGTCGAACGCTTACTCAGATTAGTTTTACCCTCTTCATCGCTCTATGCTCTAGATCGTGGGTCAGTGGATCCCTAGGGGTTATCCGTGGGTCGTTCCGAAGACGCCTACTGCCATACGCTTGAATAGCCTAACAGCTAAGTCTCAGGTATCACAAGGAGCACAGAACTTAATTGAAACCTAGGCGCTCCTTGATAAAGAATATAATGGAAATATGTTGGAAATAAAGGGATGGCATCGTGTCACAAGTGGAACTAGCATCGTAAAGGCCCAAAATACATTCTAATGAGAAGAAGAGATGACCTACCCGAATTGTAGGATGCGCCACCATTGTGTGATAATTCCAGAAAATTCGGGTACAGATAAAGTAGGAGAGAATGACGTCGAGAGTGTAATGACCACGTGAGATCACTAGAAATACTACACCAACAAAGGCGACTAGCCAAGAGAACATGTGCAGAATACGCCATCGTCGAGGAGAATCTGAAAAAGAAGGTTGTCGTTACAACCTGGAGAGGCCGCAGTAATAATAAATTCATTATGTTAAGCGAAACTACTTCTTATTCTTCTTATTTGCTGGATAATATTTCTCTGTTATGCATTTGTCGGTTTCTCATCGAATTCATAGGCATCCCATTTCAATGGAACTCTTTTGAAACAGAGGTGCTAGGATGGGAAATTTGTTACATGGATAAATTTTGATATGTAGGAGTAGCAATCCATACTGATCAGGATAGTCGGTTTGTTGGAAAAGCGTCAAGGATGGGTAGTTGGCTTCATTATGGGTGTGTTAGGTGGTTAGTTTGAAATTACCCAAAATCGTGGTGTATCAGTCGACATTGATTGAAGTTATCGGTTTGGAAATCCGAGAACTCATGCTCATTTTTGGTGGAGTTCATTCGAAAGATTCAAGCTTCGACAGAACCAAAAGCTATCGATAAGGATCATCGTTATTCTTGAGGAAAAACTTTATTTTTGCAATCTGCCCGACTATGAGAATATGAAATTTCGGTACATGTCCGATTTAGTGAATTACGGAGATGTTCTTGAAAAGAAAGACTCACATTCCCCGATGAAGAGAGCGCTGACAACAAGCACGATGGTGTGTCCACTGTAGATGTAGTCGCCACAGAGGGTGTACTTGCCACGAACGTTCAGTCCAACGCCAGATACCATCTTCAATCCGCGTAACACCACGTTCCAGAACGTCGCATTTTCACCCTGCAATTAAGCACAAGTAATTCGAAAGTATCCAGGAGCAGATACCACAAATAAAACTGGATTTCAAAAAGTCTATCAACTGGAACAATGTGAGAATACTTTCCCTATCACGGCTTGGAACACTTACAAGATCGTAAGAGAAGTTTGCATAATCTCAGCATATCTAACAACTCCCTCTAGCTCCGAAAGTCGTCAACCCGACTGCCGCTGCGACTTGCAGAATTGCCGGGCAACCTCTAGTAACTAATGCTAAGCAGTGGGAAAGGTAGTGTATGTGCTCATGGATAACACTGCTGCTTTTTTGAATTATCAAACTTACATATTTCGGTGCACAAAGGAAGTTCGGATCGGCGACAGGCACCTGCGTGACGATCATAGTAATGCAACGCATCAAATACAATAACGAACCGACCATCATCAATCGTCGGAACATAATCCATCGATGCCTGAAAACAAAGTAGGGCTCAATCGTGCCATAAAATACTTGTTAGCACGCGGATCTCAACAGAGTTACATAGACTTGATCGTGGCATGAGCCTTTTTTAGTTTCTCCCGGCCTCCTTATTTTGCAAATATTTTGAAACCCAACAGGACTAGAAAGGTCCACAGCCACTTTCGAAGACCAACCCTCTATGCAGAAGAGATCGCAGGCTACCCGAGCGTTGACGTAAACTGAGTTCTGGGTTGATTCATACCAATAGGTAGCTGGGGAAGCTTGCGATCTTTCTTGTCTGAAGGGTTGGTCTTCTAAAGTGGCCTTCCTTACTTTAACTTCTTCCATTTTAGAAGACCTTGTAGGTAGTCGAGCAGGGTTTTATTCACTCTTACCCATGGTGGTAGTCCATGAATGCAACAGCCGCCCAGACTGCTGCCATGAGTAGAAATAAATGCAGTCGTTCTTGGGACAAGAAGTTAAAACATTTCTACTTCTTACGGCTTGGAACTAGGGTCTACCGCAGGGGTTTCTGATGAGAGTTCACCCATATCTGATTCTGCAAAATGTGTGTGGCTTGGTTCTCCTTTCTATGGTCTACCATTGTAACTTACACTTATGGCTACAGCACGGTAGGATCCGCTTCATCCTCTCACTTGCCGTCGCACAGGCTCGATAAAGGGAGAGGGAGAGTACGTAAGAGCTGAGTTATATTCTGCATGTATCCAATTCCTTTTCCCTCATCTCAGAACCTAATCTTTTTGGCACTGCTGTGTGTTTTGCTGTAGAAGAATTGGATCTATCAAACTTTAATTACCCAAGTTTGGGACAAGCGTGGTACAGGAAACCTCTTACGGCAACACTCCTTTATTCGACTTCATATGGGGATGTCTAATACCCGGGATGCGTAAATATTTAGAACGCATGCAGGAGAAGTAAAACTGTTAGCTCTCGTTACTACGGCATACTTCCAAATGGGACCCAGTTAGTAATCATGTGTGACTGTTACTCACCGATGGAAAAGCATCAAAAGCAGAACAGAGGCAAACGAGGCCAACATGATGTATTCGCAGATCTTCAAACCGTTCTTGTAGTACGGTATAAACGTGAACGTTATATCGGGCAGTGGAGGCTGTTCGGGCACTCGCTCATGGACGAACGATAACACGACTTCGTTCAGCACAGCGGCGAAAGCCAACAGCAGGAAGGAGAGCTGAAAAGGAGAAATATGAGGAAACGAAAATCAGAAAAAACCCAAATAAAAAAAGATTACTAGATGAAATGGCTCATGTTTAAGGGAATTGTGGAAGAAGCTGCGGTATTTCGATGCAATCAAAATCTGACCAGCGTCCGTCTTATCAAGTTTCCGGAGCAGAAGGAGCTACCGAAGAGAGACTAAGTCCCTGGTAGCTGCTAGCGTCTGGCGGAGGTGGTATAGTGGCAAGTGGCGCACTATCACACATGCATGATCAGGGGTTCAAAACCCAGATCGATATCTACCTAGGTTGACCAAGCCATCCATCCCTATGGGGCCGATCAATTAATTTGAAACAGACTCATCCGTGAGTATAAAAGCACTGACATGTACATCGGCTGGATACCCAAGTCAGGTCATATACGCATTCAAAACGCCACCACGATTCTGAATAGGGTAGAATACGGGGCGCATCCTTCAGACGGGATTGATAAACGCCCAGAGACTTTAGCTTTCATCCTTCAATGTCTGGAGGAACATTTATCCGTCGACCGTCTTCTTTTACCTGACTACTCTGTTCTGAGTCAAATCACAGACAAGTAAGTGCCCCTATCTCACTTGAGGAAGTGATACAACGAGTTTCCTGTGCCCTCTCTCCTCTATCAAACGAACACCGTGAATCTAACCAATCACTTGAGGTCTGGTCTCGTGGGGAGCCACAGTAGAGCACTTTTATATAAATAAAAGCAACTGGAAATATGATATGTCGGCACTCATAACGACTGTTTACACATTGACCGAATATAGCTAAGAACATGCCTCGAAAAAAAAANAAAAAAAAAACGTGGATGGCCTTCGTGGAGAGGGATTTCCCTATGAACATTTCCTTTGAAAATCTTGTTTTGCTCATGTGTACACATCATTCGCCTTCCACCGAATCTTCCCTTTTGATAGCAGTCACTTCCCAGAATGCGGAATTTACATTTGATGGGGGCCATATTAGTCCCATACGAACATGCGTCATTGATATGTTACTGAATCATACCAACCTTTCTCAAGAAATTTTTTTTGCTCCTTTATGACCGCTCATGAGATGTTTTCCCCTGCTCTTAGAACTAAATATTGCTTTCGTCTGCTCCCCTTGGACAGCCCAGAAGAAAAAGGATGACGTCGTGACTGGTATGCTAGTAAGAACCGACAGCGTCACCCGCCCATATTGTGCTTGCAACCAGAATGAGCCGCACTTGACGAAAAATATCTCCCTACAAGACCTGGTACGTAATACAGTTGTACAGAGTGTCTAACAAAGGGGTGTTCAGGGTGTCCGGATTTGCGTGAGGGTTCTTAGGTAGTTGTCTCGCCGTAGGCCAAAAAATATGCCGAGATCTCCCTCAAAATCCGACCCAGCAGCGCGACGGGCCCGACGTGTGCGGCATGTCATTCGGAACTTCCAACCGCCACCATGTCGTTGTGGACCATTTCGCTCAAACGATTTTTAGGAACCTCCCGTTCAATAGTTGGGAGATCGCGAGAAACTTGAAATGAGATCATTACGTTCCTGACAAAAATTATGCCCTCCCACGGATAAAAGAGATAAAAAAGACAGATCGAGTGCGTGACGAGTCTCAAAGGACTCTCATTGGTGTGCACTTCCTGTTTTATCCCCTTTTTCGAACGCTCTACGAATCTTGGAACTCGTCCAAAATTACAGCATAGTAGCTTTCTGCAGCAGAATCGTTCTCTGTATTGCAGTTAGTCAATGAACAGGAATTTCAATAGTAACTGACGTCGCTGTTGGCGTCATATGATCGAATCGGCTTGAAAAACGGCTAATCTTATCGGAGAACTAGAGAGAGTGTATCAATAAGCTGCTTTTGAAATAGACACGGGACGAAAATATGACTTGGCTTTGAAGAAACGCAAAAGATCTTCCCAGAACACTAGGCAATCGGGAAGCTCGAAGGATCTACTCCAGGAGTACCTAGGTTTCCAGGTTCTCAAGGTAGAACAGAAACTCTAGAATTGCTATTACAGAGGTACCAAAGTTAAAGCTATACGTTTAGCCACGAACCAGATTTGAGCAGAAACCTGTGGAAACAGTACTGAGGAAGCCTATGAAGAAACCTCCAAAACCCTACACTGCACCTAGCCACACTGAGGAATACCTCAGAAATTCCGCAGACCGGCCATTTCCAAACGATTTCCCTCAGTTACCCTCATAAAAATGGGCCCAGTCAACAAAAATGGAACCATCAGCATTTTGCTTGATAACAACAGATTCAAGCAGATAGCATAGTTGTCATAAAATTTTGTCGATTCATAAGTAAAAGCGGAATTCTGAAACCTCCGTCAACTTGACCATCACAGCTCGAACATCATCACTACGCTAGTTCTGATGAAAATCCAAGACCCCCTGTGCTAAGCACAAAGAAAGCGCTTCAGGGTTAAATATGTAGTGCTTGTGACCTGTTGTTGATAGGGTCCACTCATTGGATGCAATAAAACTTACACTTTCATTCAATCAAAAATGAAGCAATAATTCTTTTGACCCTTTATTTCATGTCATTTTCCTCTGTTACTGACGACAGCTGTCATTCAACAATGAAAACTCAATTGCTTTGCCCGAACTGAGCTGTCTGCTCTGCTGTGAGTCCGCCAAGCTCTGGTCTACTTTTATCACCTGTATCACCTGTCGTCCTGTTGCTCGTCGATTTCCTCGAGCAGGCGCCAGTAACGTTTCCATTCGTCCCTGTCGCGAGCCAGAGTAGTCCAGTGATCGTACTCGCTCGAAGGACACGGGGCAAAACCTTCCGTTCAGAGATTTCGTAAGCAAGTTTGACCAACGGGCCGACGGTCGTCCTGGTGTTCATTTGACGTCCCAAGGGATCCAGTCCGTAATGATCTGCTTGATATTTACAAAACAGTGAAAAGAAAGAAAGTGAATGAATTTTGTGCGGAAAGGATCTCCAAGGTTGATCACAGTAATGCTTCACACGTGCAGATGGGGAGAACAATAGGGATAACCGCTTTACGGAGTATTCATGTTTGTCTGCTAGTAGAGAAGAGTATAGAGTTATCACTGCTTCCAAAGTGATTTCTGATGCTTTATAGACTGACTTCCAATGCTATAAAACTTCTTCAATACCACAATAACGAGCCACCCGGGAAGAAGCTGAACAGCTTGGTAACAGAGGTGATCCTCACAAGCCTATAACGCCATGGACCTCTTAACAAGGAAGGTGTGGAAGACATCTGGACCGTATCGGAAGGACCCTACGGCCTAACGAGTTTGACTTTTGGGGGAGAAGAAGAAGAGGATCTAAAAAGGACGAAATAGTAGTATGACCTTGGTGTTTGTTGGAATTTGGTCTAACAAATACAATGCTCTTTCGGAGCTCATTACAGAGAAACGACAACCCATTCAGAAACAAAAATAATAGTTTGGATTGTCTCCATTTTGGTTCCATTACATTTCAAATAAAATAATCTTTAAGAAATAGCGATAAAGGATAGCGAAGAAAGAATAAAAGTATCCGATAAACAAAAGGAGGTAAGCACCTACCAGGGCCTTTGCGCGTTCCTTAGGAAATCGGTCATGAGGCGACGCCGGCTTTTCCGATGACGGCATGTCTATTCGAACCGGTTGACTGCCACTTGATAGAAGAGGTGCATCATCGGCGGTGTCGCTGTCGCTCGCCGTCGAGTCTGCCGACCCACACATGCGACGGGATGTCGCCGAGTCGCCTGCTCGACGCGACGACGTCGGTTCTTCGTCCATTACTGTAAACGGGCTGATGAACCGTAGTATGAGAACAGGACAAAGATACAGAATGTCAGCGTAAAGGAGGAAACGTCAAGAGTGCGACAGAAGTTTCAGCTAGTGACTAGCGTGCTTATGGTCCTCGAACGATTTCATCTCATAGTGGTCTTTATATTCAAATGACTGACCAATTGACTGTCAACAGTGACTGGGAAGGTGTTCGGTAAGGGTTCGGAACATGCCAAAGTCAAGTCAGTACTAAATTGCGATAAGGTTGGTGAAGCATCGACTTTACAGCCAGAACTGTTGAAGTGGAAGGCTGGATCTCGGAGAGATCGGACCACAAATTATGCGTGTAAAGCCCCTTGCTGGTGCCTCACATCCAGGACTACATTACAATACAACCACGGCTACCTTAGTTCTTAAATGAAGCATCAGGAATGTACTTAAAATCCAGTTTTCAAATGAACATCAGTTAATCTTCAATTCAAATAGGCCTCAATGGATGAAAAAGAATTTTTGGATAAAAAGGTAAATTTGTTGAGTACGAATGGCACTGAAACCTGCCCGTCTCGAAATATTTCTTCTGATCTTTCAACAGTCATCGAAACCCACGGGAGTTTTTCAAAGGTGTACTCAGCTGAGAAAAATGACGTTCGGAAAAGACTGGTTGAAGATGACAAGATCAGTAAACAGATAAAGTGGAAGGGACGACAGCGTAAAGGAAAACAGTAACGAACATTCAAATTCAATTGCAGAAATGTTTCGGAGCTCAGAAGAAGTTCCATTATAACAGTGATTCATGACAGTGCCATTAAATGGGAATTCAATGATTTCCGAATGCCAGTGAAACCCCCTATCATTGGTTTCACCTAGAACGAGTTGAGAAAAATCTTTCTCTGTTTGCCCTGACAACGTGCAACCCGTATTGAACATCTTGAGTGAACATCTTTGAAAAGCGTCATGCCTAAATTGAAGGATTATGGCGAATGTCTTTGTTAAATAAACGAGGACGGCCATACAAACAGCCCATACCCATCTGAAAAATGGGAAAGCACGGCCCACTAAGATAGGCGCATACTGAGAAGACCACGAAATCACCCGGCAAGGAAAGCGATGGAGCTTGACGTTTCAGGGGAGCGACTACGAGGAACCGAAAAGAAGTAGTGCTAAGAGAACAAAAAGAACTTTGCCGAAATTATGGTGACGACAGTAGATGCTGTATATAGAACGAAGTGACGACGACTACAAGAACAGAGGGTCCTACGAAAGGGATTAACGCTAGGGAGAAGAAAAAGAAGAAGTATCTGAGATACGTAAGTTCCCCAAGTATCCATTAGGAGAAGTACTAGGCGATTCTCGGTGCATGTCCGACCCAAACTGTGGGCAAACTAAAAGGCGAAGACGGTAAATGAACAGATTTCCGAGCATTTTGTCAAGTTTTTCAAAAGTGTGGCGCTGTTCGAGCAAAATTAGCTCCAGGAAAGTGTCACAATTCAGAATGAGCACGGATTTTCTATGAAAATGGCAAATGCAGTGAAAGGCTGAGAATGACAGTTATCGTATCTTACCATATGCTCGTTGACATTGTAAATGAAAAGTGCAAAACAAGCTGCGAACTAGAGATAATTGCAAGAGAAAGAAGAATGAAAAAGAATGAAAAATAGGGGAAAAGAGATGAGACAGAGGTATGACCAACTCAGTTACACACTCAGAATGATGTCCAGATAATAAGGGAGTCGAGGATCGCAATCGCAACAGTAAAAGGAGGGAAGCACTCGGTTGAGCAAACTGGGATAAATTATGCACTTATCACTTTGTGAGCAGAATACGCTGTTTACTACTGCTTTACGTGCCATGGTAGTCACTTCAAAGAAGTGAGGGGCGATTGGAAATGTTACTTCATTTCCATTACGAGTCAAGTCTCTCAGCTGTTAATTAATGGAATACAGAAGACCGTCCATTTGAAACAAATCAAAAAAGCTTCTCAGAATGAAGAAGGAAACTTGAGGCTGATCTTTTTCAAATACTTCAAATTCTCTAGAACAAGCTAACTGCATAACTTTCAAGAGAAAATTCGAAGGTAAGGACAACTATGAATGGAGATAAATGGGGAAGTACAAGCACAGGTTCGAGTCCCGTCCGAGACCGATGTTCTGCCCACAAGTCGCCACCCTTATGAAACAATTGGGAAATTTGAGAACTGCGAAAATTTCCACTCAACGAGTCAAAGGATAGAGTCGAACGTAATGAAGAATAATGAGAATCACGCACTTTCACAAGACAAATATCTGTTGACCTATGCTGCCTATGAGTGTAATGTCTGGGCAACCACGGTCAAAACAGACAACCATAGTAAAGAATACTTTGATCAGCTGTTTAACTAGATAGCCAGCAGTTCAGGTCAGACAATGCCCTAGTGAAAGAGGAACAGAGCAAACTCGACGCCGAGCCCGTCAGAAGGACGAGTGAAGCCCCGAGAACATCAAGTGTGGCAGAAAAAGTACAAAGGCAGGGAGAAGGCAGAAAAAAAATACGTCAGATTGCCTGATTGTCACGATAAGGGAGGGATTCTCACTCATGACTATGGCATGCACTCGAGCTTGTCTATTGGAATCGAAAGGGCGCTTGTTGAAGCTTGAAGACCTATCTATGACCTAATCAGAAGTGCAAGTCCGGGAGATATTCGCGATTCGCTTCATCTACATCTCGAGATTTTAAGCTATGAATGCTCAAGCCACTGTCGGATTTCTGCTATTGGAATCTGGTAGGGATGAGCTCAAACCTTCCGCAATCTCGAAATGGAGATAAAGCATGGCGCATCCTAGTAGTGTTCAGTTAATCAACCTTTGTTTACCTGAGTTTTGTGATATGAGGTGTTCTGCAAAGGTTACAGCACTCAGTTACACAAAAGCTGATTAATTTAACATTACGAGAATGCGCCATGCTTCCGACTTAGGCTATGAGATATCCACCTTGCACTGTTAGTAATCGAGGCCAACAACGACACAGGCCAGTTTTATCAAGAAGTTCTACCTATTACTGGGAATCGGCTTTGGCGACAGTGGATTCTGTCCTGCTCTAGTCGTGAAACAGAGGTAAGTATTTCGCGAAGTAAATAGTTTGCAATCACTCTCAGACCCATCCGTCGTGCTGTTGTCTTGTTAGAGGGGGAAAATTGCTTGTTGGACATTTTAAACCTTCACGGGTTGCGCTATGGCTTCTGATGACGATGATTACTACGAAACATTATTCCGTTGATTAACTAAGTAGTTCCATCCGGAACCTCAAGCGATAGAAAAATATCACCAACGAAAGCCATCCCATATAAATCCAACTTCGCCCTGTACCATACAAATTTGGAACTCATCAACAGGCCTCTAGGAATGAAAAGATTCGTCCGATCAGCAGATCGATTAACATGAACCACCTTCACGACCCTGGAATACCACCCAGTTCATTCCATCTAAAGTGATTGATTTACAACCCAATGAGTATGTGGAGG